TTTTCTTCTGAGCCTGGAGAACTGTGTCCAGAAGAGCTGGACTCAGACTCGTCCTCTGACGAGTCCGAGGAGGACGACTCCTCCCCTCTCCTAGAGGGGCCCGCCTCCTCTCCCTTAGAAGGAGCAGAAGGAAAATTAGACATGTCAACGGTAAGATGGGAAGGGAACACCTTGGCCCCTCTCTCAGAACTGTCGGCTTGACAGTCGCCTCGTTCTACATCTGGCGCCTGGTCAGATGTTTCACTAAGGAGCACCCTTTGGGAGGAGCCGTCTGAGTTTGATATCTTAGCAGTCTGTTTCGTTCTGGCCATCACGTTCTGCATAGACACAGATACAGTCGGACTTTGTATAAAGAGCAAAGATGGGTCCAGAAAAGGGCAGGCGGCACTCCTAGTCCTAGATTCAGCCGTCCCCGGTGACCGGCTGATCACTAACTTAGGTCGTGTCGTGTGCTTCCGTGGTGCCATTTCAAAAAATAAAAAGAAAATTAAGAGTAAGAGAACTGAGTTACCTGAACGAGTGACGGTTGATGAAGTCCTGGAAGTTCGGGTCAGTCGGCTTGTCAGAACAGGCGGTAGGCAGAAAAGGTCCGAAATGTCAGAGCAAGTTCAGGGGTCCGAATGTTCTCGCAAAGTTCTCAAATGTGAAAATGACCGAAGTCAGCACTTCCTTATATAGGCAAGGTGAGAAGGCGAAAGGTCGCTTCCAAATTCAAAATGTGGGCGGGAAAATCTCTCGGCCGTTTGCAAGGTGACACCTGTAGCAGGCCGTCGCCTGTCACCGTGCGACACCTGTCACAGGCGACACGTGACCAGTCACGTGCCACCTGTGAGGGGCAAATGATTAGGGGATTTTTATCCACCAATCACCGTCTGACAAGTGGACCAACCAGGTTCCGCCACGTGTCCTTCACGAAGGCCAACAGGAGCCTGCCACGTGTCAATCACAGATACGTCCTCTACGGACCAATTTAGACGCGCCACGTGTCCACCCATGCCAAATGGGAAAACCGGCCATCAAGGCCCAACTCAGTCTAGAGGCCCGATCAGCCCTAGGTTTACCTTAAACCTAGAGAGTGGCACGCTTCTCAAGGCTATAAATACTCAATTAATCCTCATTAATTACAGAGTGAAAAAGTAATCAAGCAGAGTAGAACAGAGTTATTACGGAACATCAACAACCGGCTAATCTCGCTAACGACGCAGATTACCAACACTAAGCACTCTCACCTAGAGAGATCTCATTACTTTAATTTCTGTATTGATTACTCCTTAATCAGGTACTAACTTGACCGTTGGAGGCGGAGCTCTCAGGAGTCTCCGTTATTTTGCAGGTACAGGCGTCCGGTTCCAGTCTCGGAATTGTAACTCTCCCGCAGGACATCAGAAAACCCCGAAACATACTTCATTCACTTTCTACTCTCATTTCTTAAATACCGTGAAAAAACAGAAACAGAAACTATGTATTAGGACGGAGGGAGTAGATTTTATTGATTTTTGATTTTTACTTTTTTTTTTTGAAGAAATTGATTATTGATTATTACTTATCTGATCAACTTATTTGAATTTATTAAACCTTAAACTTATTTTAGTTGTAATTTAAACTTGAGTAACCTTATCAGAACTTATTTTCCTGAGCTGAACTAATCTGAACTTAATAAACCCAAAATAAGTGAAAATAGTAAGGTGAACAAAACATACCTTATTTATAGTGTATAAGAAAAATAAATTGTGCAATCTTGTTATTTTCATTTTTAGTATGTACTATCTTAACAATATCAACATTCTAGATTTTTTTTAATATGAGTAATATGGTTTTTATTTTATTTTTTTTTATTTTGAGGAAGAGTATTATGAAATTAAAGTTCGCTATTTTAAAAAATATAGAATGCATATGGAAATATTGTAATGGCAGAATAGTAATTTAAATTTTAAAGAATGGTGATGATAGACTAAAAATATACCAGTCTCATTCCTTTTAACTTCATATAAAAATGCATTTTCATTATCATTTGAATTATTAGAAATTTAGAATATATTAAATATTAATTTTCATAATTTTGATAAATAACTTATTAAATACAAAGTACTACATATATTTTTAATTTTTTCTGAAACTAAATATAAATAATACTGTGTATTATTAAAACTAAAAGTTTTTCCTAAAAAAAAGAAAAAGAAAAAGAAAAAAAAAAAGTCTCATATGAGAAGGAAAAGAGAAATGGCAGAGGTACGAAAAATTGCAAGTATTATTAATCAGTTTAAAAGCTAACTAAAGTGAAAAATAAATTATGAGAATAGCTTTTGAAAAAACAAAGCTAAAGTGCGTGATAATGGAACCAATTAGTCTTTCTTGGTGGCTTAGGAACAAAGTATATTGTGTACGAACCAAACAATATTAGTAAAACTGTAACTAAAATTAAAAATAATTATACGTTTTCAAAATTAATGTGTTCCCTTTTAATGGTTACATTTTAATTATTTCTTAAATTAAAATAATTATTTTTTTTACACATTTTCTGCATATATACCTATTTTTCATGAAATTATCCTCATTTATCAAAATATTTACATATTTCCAATATACTATTTATATTTACAAAAATATTTACCTAGGTTTATTTTCCACTATCTTATTTTCCTTATTAACCGTAAAAAACCACCAATTGTAACCTTCTTTCAGGAAGGGATAAGAATCGATCTCAGGATCACCTGAAACCGGTAGGAAAGCTCTTACCAACTGAGCTATTCCTCACTCTCAAAGGGAGTACATCTTTGATACATGTATATCCTTAAACTTTTAATAAGTTGTAATTAGCAATGGGTACAATTAATACAATTAGGTACGTCTAATCGTCTATACCTATACCCTCTACATGTTTACCAGGCCATATTCTTTTAATTCTCTTCGATTACCTATGTGCTTTTGAAAAAAAAAAAAAAAAAACTTTTTGTTGTTGATCTCATTACACCCAATTTATTTTGTACAATATTTTTTTTTTTAAAAAAAAAAGTTTACACCAATAATCCCACCTTTTACAAGTCTTTTCAAAATAGTCTCATCTTTTAATTTTAAAATATGAGAAAAATTCCACCTTTTAGTGATATATTGGTATCTTCTCAAAATGGTCCAAGTGACCTACAACCTAAAGAACCGGTAAATTTTTTTAACATGTGTCGTCTAAGATGATCGATGTAAGCATGACTTGTTTTAGTAATAGTTAATAGATTGGATAAAACATTTAGAATGGTAGAGTCCAATAGAAACGACCAGAACACTAGCCATAAATCCTTCAATAGTAAGATACTAAGATTAAAAGTTGTAAATGAACCGCTAAGATTATAAATGAAAGGATTGAAACCTTTGATAGATATAAGGTACTATAATAATGATTTCTTTCGATGATAGGATGTGAATCAATGCCATCAAGGCGAGAAGGCATAACTCTTTTTGCTCCAAACACGGTTGGTGTAGCGCATATTCTTGGTTGCATGTTTGTGAAGCTAGAATAGCTGCACCACTGCTAAACCCAGTTGTTTCTTAATGAAACGCAGCACTAACTTCTTCTTCCTCATTTCCTTAATGTTATTCCCCGGGATTCCTTCTTTCCTTTTTCTTAGTTTCCTTATATCCTTTTTCTTAGTTTTTTTCTTTCCTATAATAATTTTGATCCCAATTTTATCTCCTTTGTTTTCTCTTTCAATCTACATTTTCTCCCTCATTTGTTTTTTCTATTTTCTTTCTCCTCTGTTTTCTCTAACTTTGTTTTCAATTGATTTCGTTGTCCAGTATGGGTTAGTTGTTATTCTCGCATAGATCGTTTATGCAGGTAAGCTTTGTGTGTTGTTGATTTATGATTAGGTTTATTTAGGTTAGATTTTGCTTAATTCGTAATTGTATATTATTTGTAATTATTATGTAATTAGTTAGGTTTATGAATATGTAATTAATATGAATTGATTTTCTAATTTTTCGAAGTATTTGCATTGGGTTTTTTTTTCTGATGAATGTTAATTTCATTGATTATTTGTTGATTTCGTGATGATTCTTGATGAATTTCGATTGATTTTGTGAATTTGATGATTCAATTATATAATAATTTTTGATGCGCTGATTGTGATGAATGTTATGAATTGATTATTGATGCTTTGCTATGAGTGTGATATTAATTCTGCTTTTTCAATGAATGTGATTAATTGATGATTTTGTAATTATATTAGTTCATATTGTTTGTTATTTTGATTTTGTTTTTTTGTAAAATTCAATATTTTATATCAAAATTGTAGATGTGATGAAAAATAATACGTTTTCTGAACATTGAATTTTAAATATATGAACATCATTTTATTTATTTTTATGAACATTTCTGATTAGTGATATTATGAATAAATTTTTTAGGGATATTATGAACATTCTGTAAATTAATTATAAACAAATTATGTTAAAATTATGAACAATCTCTGTTATTATGAACATATATAATATGTTTCATTATTTATTACGAATATATATCGTAGACAACACATGTCAAACTATCTTGTCGCCTTGATACCAGTATGAAATGGATTGTTTTACTATCTTAGACGACACATGTTTTCTTTATTTAAAAATTACATAACAAATTTACCAACAACATATATTAACATACAAGTATGAAATGGATTGTTTTATTATTTTAGGCTATTTTATATCATATTAAAATCTATCTATCTAAGTCAATTCTCTTTAAAATAGTGTTTGAACACTTCTTTTCTAATAAAATGTTTATTTACATATTTGGCCTCATTGATGCTAATTGTCTCTTTTTTGAACACTTACAAATAGTGTACGGACATTTATACCCCTAAAAATATTTGTTTATACATCTTTCCTCATTAACCGACAAATAGAGTTGTGGCAACCCAAACCGGAAAAGCTTCTCGGACACAACTAGCTATGACGCACGTATTGTACGCATTAGCCGCCCTAGTACTATTAAGATTTAAGAGTATTAACAGATATATAGTTACAGTGGCTAGCTAAAACTTTGTAGCCATGCCACTATAAGCTTTTAATCTAAACCATATAATTTGAGATACAGAAGTTCAATTAAGATCAATGTTAGACTAGCACTAAATTAAACAAACAACATCAATAAGTATTTTAAACTTTTAATTAGAGGATAATCCAAATTTGTAGGTTTTACTAGGGTTGCAATGGAAGTACCTATCTCCTCCAAACCCATACTTGGTCTGATAACCAGGATATTCGAGACGTTTAAAATTGACTGCTTGAATTAGATATAGCCCTTGATCACATCCTAATTTTGGTATATCCAATCGACGAAAAAATCCACTACATTTCGAAGTGATGTGTATTTCTCCATCTTCTCCGATCATCTTCTTCGCGTTTTGTAGGAAACCACTTATCAGCTTTTGATGCATACTGCAAAGCATTCAAAAAGTTCTAAGATGCAAATTGAAATGGTTCTATTACACTTCCCCGAAATATATAAACACTTCTACTGTGCTTATTACTTTGTTTCGTAAAATTCTTTTCTATTATATAGTTTAAAATACTTAGTACTTTCATAAGGTCCTTCAACCTTTGGATTAAAAATAAAAGTCCTTCAAACTTTGGATTAAAAATAAAAGTCCTTCAAACTTAATCTTTACTTCTTTTTTTTTCGTAAAATTCTTTTCATTTATTGTTTAAAATATTTTATACTTCATACTTGGCCTTCAAAAAAAAAAAAATAAATAAATAAATAAAGTCCTTCAAAAACTTAATCTTTAGTACGACGGAGTACAAGTATATTCTTGAGTAAATAACAAAATCAATTTTTTTTAAAACCCCGAGTTGGTCTACTTGGGGACTAGGCTTCTTGGACTCTCAAAAAATTAATAATAATCACAATAACTTAGCTCACTTGTATTGCTTTATCTATTTTCAAATAAATTTATAGTAGGGATAGAGTCAGTGTCGGGGCTCAAATTGCAAATTATTTATGGGGCCTTGTTCAACTTTTTAAAATGCGGCCTTCTGCTCGATAAATTTAATACCTAATTTTTATTTGATAAAAAAATTAATTACATCAGAAAATTCGTCAAAATTAAATTAAAATGGGAAAAATAATTTTAGGAGATGAAAAAATTTGAAAATGAATTGAATAATTGAAGAATATGAAGATAATAATAGAAAGTAAATAAAAACAATAAAGTTTTGGAAGATATAGAGTTTTTTTGGGAATTAGAATGGTAGATTGAAAATTTTTGGGAGGAAAGATTTGAATTGTTGTCCACTTCATTTAATTTCCCAAAAAAATTAATAAATTGTGAGATCTCATATACACAGCAAACTTGCTCTAACAACTACTCCAACTGCAATTTCATAATATTATACCAAACTTAGTTACAAATACCTAGACTTTGGGGCCCCACAAATTTGGGGGCCCTATTCCGTTGACCACCTAACTCCGGCCCAGAACTACCTCTGGATAGAGTATATATATGAATATATGATAGAGAAAAAACTTGTTCTTACCGTAGTTCTAAATCACCTTTACCAAATTTCCCAGCGTGAGGAAAATTGAAAATCACACGATCAAACGTCATGCTACCAACGAAGGGATGATTAACCATTTTCGTGGCGTCGACACCATGAAGGACAACACTGCCTCTAGTCTCCAACTCCGCCTTATTGTTGGGGAACTTGCGGTAGTTTTTGATTAAAAAGTCTGCCAATTCAATACTTTCACGACATTATATTATTGTCACTACAAGACACATTTTATTTTCAACATAGCTACAAACTCGATCTTATAACATCGTGTAAACAATTTCAAGCCCAAAAAAACATAGTTGAACGAGCTAATTAAGTACGGGTACCTCCAAGGTTGAGCGAAGTTGCAATAATGTTACAAGCCGATGTACCAAAAGCAACAGCCAAACTCGCTGAGAAAGAGAAGTCGCCTTCACCAACAAGTAACACCCTCTGATCACTAGTGTACGGCCCTATTTTACCAACACTTGAATCATTAGATGACACATAATTTACCGCGGTTGTAACATTTTTTTCTAACACTACTTCCGCTATAACTCGATCATCACCATAGTCTATGACCGGTTCTTCGTTACTTTCACTGATCAAATCGAGCACAACATGGGGTGCTGGTGATGAATCTAAGTTGTTATTCCAATCGGAAACCGGCTGAAAATGATCGGATATGTTGATGTAGTAGTGACTTTCTAGCTGATTATTCTGATCAACATCATCAACATAATATGTTTGGTGATTATTGGACTGAACATCTTTTTTTGTTGTTTCATTTCTTGATTTTGGGCAAATCCAATTCCATAAGTTGGAAAATATTTGACCCATTTTTTGGACTAGCTATAATACTGTATGACTAGAATTTTTGTTACAATGAACTTTCATAGTTCCATTGATTTCCTTTTTATGAAAATAAAAAAAGGTACCGCTATTATAAAATTTATAGTAAAAGGAGCTTAAACTATCAATTGGATATAGTAAATTGAATTATAATTTAATTATCTGCATTAATAGTAAGTTGACGACTTCATTGACTTCATCTGAATTTTGATTGGCACCTAATTACCCACTCAATAATACTTTATTTGATTTTATATATTTTTTATTTGCTTAACAGAATTTTTTTAATTGAATAGTCATAAAGTGAACAATAAAGACTTGCTAGTTTTGTTAGGAAAAAGGAAAAAAAAAAAAAGACTTGCTAGTTTACTTTGTTTCCAATAATATTCGTTGCATGCTAAAAAAAATAATAAATTTGGAGTATTAAGACATTATTTTTTTATTATGAATTAAGTAATGAAATAACATACTAAGTATTAATCTCAAATTTACATTATAAAAATTACTTTGTACTCGTATGATTTATATCTCATACTCCACATAATATAAAATAAAATACTCCTTATTAAACTTCATAAAATTTAACTAAATTTCTCTTTCTAAACATGGTGCATTGTCCGAGACAATAACTACGCAGTAGTTGTAATTTAAATTACAAAGAATGATGATGAAATTATGAACGAGTACTCCGTAGTATTTATTTTAATCTGGGAATAATTAAATGTAATTCTTAAAGGGAACACCTAAAATGACAAATGTAACCCTTTTGCAAAAGCGGAGAGAGTATGGAGTATTAAATCTGGAAGTCTCTAAAATAACCGGTAAAAAAAAAAAATTGGTACTAGATTAAAAAAAAAAAAAAGAAAAGGACTAAAAATAGAAGAGGTACAAAAAAATGCAAATAAATTTTAAAAGCTAATTAAAGTGAAGAAATTAATGATGAGAATAGCTTTTGAAAAAAGTAAGTTAAAGTCTTCCTTGGTGGCTTAGGAACGAAGTAATGAATTGTGTACGAACTACACCAAAATTATAAAAGTGGTTGGCTTTATAAATTTTGCATCAGATCATTATAAAACTTAAATACTAAGGTTATATTTGGTTAATCGGATTTTGTCTAAATTTGTTTTATATGAACTTATTATTATATAGAGTGTGTATTTTATGTGAACTTATTTTATTTTTCTTAAATTATTTTGTCTAGATTAATTTTATCAGATATTTTTATTTAAATACTTTTTTTTAAGAAAAAACAGATTTCATTGTTTGGAATTAACTAAATTTGTTAAACGAAAGAAGAACACAGCTAGGGTTTGTGTTTAGAAAAAAAAAAACTCTAATTTAGATGGCCCTTGATATCATGTTAAATTTCAATAAAACAATTAGGAGAAAATGGCTTAATAAGCCTTTACCATTAAACACGTATATATAGGCTTACAAGTTACAACATTAACCTAACTTACAAAAAACTCCTAAAAAAATATGTACAAATATATTCACAAAATATATCTAACTTAACACAAATATTTCCTAACAAAATTTATTTTTTCGGAATTAAGATAAAATAGTTAGTTAAATAAGATATTTGCAAAAAAAAAAAAAAGTTAATTAAATAAGATGAATCAAACATTAGCACACACGTTTGATGTACGACTGGTCACACCATGTGGCCGCTTGTAAAATAACAAAATAATCTAAAGGGTAAAATAAGGGGGAAATGGTGGAGTAGAAAGAGAAATTGAGGAAGAAGAGGGAAAAGGAAAAAAAAGAAAAAAAAATCTAAAAAAGTCACGGGCCCAGCACGTGACTTTATTTTGGCCGGAAAACGGGAGTCAACGCCGGAGTTCTGGTCAACGGACCCTCCTCACAACCCAAATGCCTTAAAAGGACCTTTGGTGCCATCTTTTTCATAAAAGGACCTTCCTCACAAGGTGGTCACCTTAAAAGGACCATCCTCGCAATTTTTCCTTTCTTTTATTCATTCTTTGAGAAACTTTATATTCAAAAAAAAAAAAATACTTAATGCTTATGTTCATTTTGGAAACCTTTATCATAAACAAGGTTTCAAAATAAATAAATAAATAAATAAATAAATTCATAAACCATATGTTCACAGTCATTTTTTTTTTTAAATTCATAAACGATATGTTCACTTAACATCCTATCTGTTTCGGGGTTTTCTGATGTCCTGCGGGAGAGTTACAATTCCGAGACTGGAACCGGACGCCTGTACCTGCAAAACAAACGGATGCTCCGAATGATTGGAGATCCGCCTCCGACGGTCAAGTTAGTACTTGATTAAGGAGTAATTAATGCGGAAATTAAAGTGATTGGGTCTCTCTAGGTGAGAGAGTTTAATGTGTGTAATCTGCGTCATCTCCCTTAATGAGGATTAAGGGAGGTATTTATAACCTCGGGAAACGTGTCAATCTAGGTTTAGGTTAACCTTGGGCTGATTGGGCTTCCCTCGGAAGTTGGGCCTAGGTGGCCGACTTCTCCATTAGGCATGGAGTATGCCACGTGTCATGACATAATAGGTCCAAGGCGGACGAATAAGCGTGTGTTACGTGGCAAGCCCTGAGAGGTCCAACTGGGGAACACTTGGCAGGACCTGATTGGCCCACTTGGCGCATTCCGATTGGTGGGAGCAAAATCCCCTAATCACTATCATCTCACAAGTGGCACGTGACTGGTCACGTGTTACCTGTGACAGGTATCGCCCTGTAACAGCCGACGGCCTGCTACAGGTGTCACTCGGCGAGAGGCCGAGAGATTCTCCCGCCAAAATTTTGAATTCCGGAAGTGACCCTTCGCCTTCTCACTTCGCCTATATAAAGGAGTGTTGACTTCGGTCATTTTCACACTTGAAAACTTTGTGAGAGAACATTCGGACCCCTGAACTTGCTCTGACATTTTGGGCCCTTTCTGCCTACCGCCTGCTCTGACAAGCCGACTGCAAAGGATTTTCAGAACTTCATCAATCGTCACTCGTTCAGGTAACCGTCGGTTCTCTTACTCTTAATTTTCTCTTTACTTTATTCTTTTTTTGAAATGGCACCACGGAAGCACACGACACGACCTAGGTTAGTGATCAGCCGGTCACCGGGGACGGCTGAATCTAGGACTAGGAGTGCCGCCTGCCCTTTCTGGACCCATCTTTGCCCTTTATACAAAGTCCGACTGTATCTGTGTCTATGCAGAGCATAATGGCCAGAACAAAAAAGACTGTCAGGATCTCAAACTCAGACGGCTCCTCCCACAGGGTGCCGATTAGTGAAACATCTGACCAGGCGCCAGATGTGGAATTGAAACAAAGCAGCTTGAAAGCCGGCAGTTCTGAAGGAGGAGTCAAAGTGACCTCTTCCCATTTTACAGTTGACAATTCTACATTCTCTCCTGCTCCTTTTAAAGGAGAGGAGGCGGGCCCCTCCGGGAGAGAGGAGGAGTCGTCCTCTTCGGACTCGTCAGAGGACGATTCCGAGTCTAGCTCTTCTGGCCATGCTTCTCTGGACACAGAAGAGAAAAACAGTCGCCTACAAGAGGCGAGGCTTTCTCACGCAGTTGAGAAGGGGGACGATTGGGCGGAGCCATCCGCCTCTCACCGAGAGCAAAATACCCCCTACTACTGCATGGTACCTCGGGGCCGGATCACAGCCATGCAAGAGAAAGTGGAGAGCTTTATCGCAAACCACACAATGGGCCCCGACTTTTTAGTGTTCGTGCCGGATCCAGAAGACACAGTCGTCTGGCCGGCTGGTACCAGTTATGATGGCGCCTGCTTTGGCTGCTACGAGGCGGCCATCAAGGCTGTGCTGCGCTTCCCACTACATCCGGCTGTTCAGCGGATCTTGGATGGGTATGAGTTGGGGTTATGGCAGTTAGCCTCGAACTCCTGGGTCAACGTACTCGGCTATGTGGCCGGGTGCGAACTGCACGGGGTGGAGCCGAACTTCAAGGCTTTCGCCCACATGAACTACCTCAGCCGGACCCCTAAGGCAGGCGGTACCGGCTGGTATCAATTGACGAGCCACAGGGGCTACCTCATGACGAGAGGTAAAGCAAACAAATGGAAGGACTGGCGGAGCACCTTCCTTATCATTGAGAGTTCAGACACAGAGCTGAACAAGCGCTTCAACAGGTGGAACAGGGATCCGCCCCTTCTTGCAGGCGGCCGCAGCATGCCGCCTGTTCCCCCCAAGGCTAAGAAAGAGATCCTAGATAAAGGACTCTTCAAAGTAGAGTCGAAGGTGAACTCTACTTCAGGGGTACGAGAGCAAGTACCCCTGCACTGCGTCTCGAGCTTCAAATGGCTCTACGACGAGTACTTTTTGGCCGCCTGTGGCCTCAGCAGTCGGTGCTCAAGAGGTAGCCGGCCTGTCGAATACTCTGTTGTTCCATGCATTTCTTGTTATGACTTTTATTAACTTTGCTATTTGTTTTTGCAGCGGACGCCATGAGCAAAATTACCGCCTCCAAGACTGCGGCGGCCATGTTGCGGGCCTCCATCATGCAACAGTCTTCAACCAACTCCCCCAACAAGGGGGCACCCTTGGTGGGCTTCGAACCTTTCACCCTCTTTTTGGAGTTGTGTTTATGCATATACTGACTCTTTTCTTCTTTTTTAGACGGGCGCTCCAAGAGCTTCTTCTTCCCAACAGCCGGACCCCAAGGCCCGGAAGAAGACTGTTGCGAGCTCTCCTGGTTCTGCCAGGAAACATGTGGCGGCTGAGAAACAGCCGGCCACTTCTTCTAAAACTCCAGCTGGGCCACCTAGAAGTATGAAATTGTCCTTGTAAATTTTAGACTTGCTCCCTCCTTTACTAGGTCTAATCCGTTTGTTTATGCTTGATGCAGCCAACCCTCAGGAGCCTGACTTGGTCGAAGTGGCCAAGTCTATGATCAAAGCCGTTCCTCCAGCTGAAAGGGAGGCGGTCAGGGGTGTCGGCACCCTTGACCTAGACGGGATTGCAAGGGTCCTTGCTGAGGTATACTTAGCATATTTTTGAGTATTTGAATTCCAGGACGCCTGTTTTCTTTTTTGTTTGGAAACTGACGCCTGTTCCCCTTTTTACTTAGGCCCTGCTCCGAGTGAACGGCCTTCGCAAGCCGCTTGACCGGAAGAACAAAGAGGTAAAGGATGCAAAAGCTATGGCCGCCTCTGACTGTGATAAGGCAATGTTTCAAATTGCCCAAAATGAA